GAATGAGATACTCAGTTTATCCACATATTCTAAATGGGCTTAGGTCTAAAATAAAGAAAATGCCCTGCCTTCCCACACTGTGGTCTTTGGATGCAATAAAGTAAGATTAAGTGCACACTTTGCTAAAAATTTAATTTGCTGCCATGCAGATAAAGAATTGTTATTTGGCTCAGCTATTAAATAAGATAAAACCAACATTGGATAAAACCAGCCTGGATGAGGCTTTGAGCAACCTGGTCTAGTGGAAGGTGTCTCTGCCCATGGCAGGGGGGTTGGAACTGGATGATCTTTAAGGTCCCTTCCAATCCAAACCATTCTATGATTCTATGATTTCTAGGTCTTGTCTAACTCAAAATTTGTTAAATATTTTTACATTGTGCTAATCAAAGAGTGTCTTCTAGATTGTCAACTTTTGAGTAGTCTTCCTTTTATTTATATTTAAATAATTACAAATATGTCATATGTGGAGGTATTTTATAGATCTTTTTAGATTTGAGATATTCCTGAACTGGTCATTAGGCTGAAAATTTGTCGATATGTGTTTGAGGTCTTCTGCATTTGTGCCTGGAAATTTGCTGAAATAATAGGGAGAAAAGTGTTAATTTTAAAATCAGAACTTGTAAAGTAACTTCTCTGTTCTGAACAAGACCACAAGGCCCAGTGAAATTTCTTAGCAATTAATGGAAGCTGCTGCTAGGTTGTGTGTGTGGTGTGGGTTTTTTTTGTTTTGTTATGGAGGGTTTGGGGGGTCTTTTGGTGGTTTTTTTGCTTTTAACCTATGGAGATATGGTTTCATCCATCTGGGAAAAAGTTTACACATTAGCATCTAGTCCAATACTCGCTGCACTAATTTTACAACCATTTGGGTTTCATAACAGGGCCGTTGTTTGTCACAATGACCAAAACACACGTGATAGCAGCTTCAAAAGAAGCGTTTTACATCTGGCAGTATCGCGTGGCCAAGAAGCTCACAGCAATGGAAATTAATCAAGTAGCACGGACCAGAAAGGAAGGCAGGGAAAGGTTTGTCTTCAGGATTTGTCATTTTTCTTCCTTTGCCCTGGTATCCTTGATAAAAGTGGATTCTCCCGTGCCTAAAATATGAGCTCTTGTCTTCTCATTTTTCTGCTTAGATCTGTTGACTTGCGGGCCTGTAAGGTTAAATACTAAAGCGTAGTTTTTCATAACAAATGTCTGTTTGTTATCCACACCTCTTAGACTCTTAGTTCCTGTTCAGTGTCTCCATTTGCGTGCTGTGTGCTTCCCTTAACGAGCTTTTTTCCCCCTCCCCTTTTTCTCCTCTGTATTCTTAGTTTCTAGGCACCTATATTCCCTCTGATAACTTTGACTGCTTCTTGTGTGTCGTTGGCTGTAAGGACAAAGCCTATTCAGATAGTTCTTCTCCAAATACACTTGTGTTTGATTGTATCTTTGACATCTAATCCTGTTTGGACTTTTAGGGAGAAAAGCCTGAGGAAATATGGAAATGCACATTTGAAATTGGGGTGGTTGATGGTTTGCAGGAACCATAGATCATATGGGAATAGAGTATCAAGGACTGTGTAAGAGAAAGCAAGTACCGTATCTTTGTGTCAATACAAAGCAGGGTTATCAAAGGGGATGCTGCTGGAACATAAGAACAGGCGTAGCTTTTATTCTCCTTTCCAATTGCAATGGTTTCTTCTCCAAGGACTGAAGATACATATATGCTATTGAAAATGATCCTTTCTTTGGACTCACTTTTTCTTCTAACTTTCCATTTCTATAGGATTTATCATATTGATGACAGCCCTTCAGGATCTGGAGATGGACACCTTGATTACAGCAGAGCTACTGAAGTGAGTGATGTTTTTAACTAGATTATTGTGGTGTCACTGGTAGCTTGAGAGAGAAGTAGTTAGCATTGCTTTATTTATTTTCATAGATTTTAATTAGTAGAGGTGTTTGTTCTTAAACTTTCTCTTCTACCTTTTGTACATAAGTATTATTTTTCTTTACACACCAAACTGTAGGGAACATAGGAAAAGTATATTCTGGGGTCCAGTATGCAGACACCTGCTGTCTTCTTGGTGAGAGGCAGCTCCCCTTACTTCAGCAAAGTATAAGCTTGTTCAAGCTCAATAACCCTCGTAATCTTTTCTAGTACTTTCAGCCTTTTTCACTTTGTGTGTGTGCACATGCATGCTCACTTTTGTACTTAACAATATATATGAAATTAATCACAGGCCCCACAAGTCAGGGATAGTTGCCTTCTGGTGTTTTCTGTTAAACACCTGTTACATTTTGGGTTTCTTATTTTTCTGAAGGAGGGGCAGGAGAAGAAAGGAAGCTGTTAATATTATTATTGTAATGATTCCCATAACAAAGGCTACTGTTCCCAAGGGCATGTAGCAATAGGATG